AGCACGTGCACCATCGATCTTCAGTAACACAATTCGCGGCCGCCTATCATTATCCTTTATCCATTCAGCTTCATAGATTGTTTTACCAAATGTCTGAAAGAGTGCACGATGTGACTTTGTCTTGACATCAACTCCTAATTTAAATTGAAAATTCCTAGAACGACTTGCAATTTCAAATTCATCGACTAATTTTTTCAATGTACGATTAGGGCGTAGTGCTTCAATAGTTAGAGGTTCTCTCGTCAATGGACTTGTACCGTGTTTACGGATCCAGCTGATGATAGCTTCACGTTCATAGGTATGGCCATCTTCAGCAACGACTGGATCTCGAAAGAGATCGAAGGTAATGGGACAAATCAGTGAATCATGCATGTTGAGCAATAAGTTAAATATATAAATGAAAAGCACAAAAAAAGTTGCTTTTACTGTTTCTCATCGGTGTGCAACTATAACTGTTTCATTTGTTTCTTGAATCAATACAGAGTGACACATGTGCTCGGAATACTTATCATTTTATTTTTCTCTTACCTTCCTTACCTAATGAAAGTTTTTTTCACAACGTCAAACACACTCTGTCGAGAGCAAAAAGAAATGATGTCAAGTCGGATGTCACTAGGGATGGGAGAAATAGCAGTCACTCACTCACAGCGAGTCACTTTTGTCGTTCTATCGCCGTCGCACACGACCAAGGGGAGAGAAAAAGTGCATCGATTGCTGAGTGACTATCTGTGACTCGAAGTGTGGCACTGCGAGTCACAAATCTATAGACAAGTGACTTGCAGAGAATCGATGTGAATTCGAAGCAAACAAGGATTTTTGGAAAACTTCTGATCAAATTATTTTACACAGAAGAAGTAACATAAAAACCTTGACATCGTTGGTTCGCTAACGCAACACAGCACATGATAATCATCTCATACAGTTTCGTGTTGAGCAGTTCGTGTCGATATAACACTTGCATTAAGAATGTATCTAAAATACATAATATGTCATCAATAAAAAAATGTATTGAAATGAATGAATACTAAGTTACTTAGGGCAGTCCAAAAGTAGTGAGGGAGGTACTTTATTTTCTTAAGGAGCGCTTCAAAAACATTTCTCTTTTAATGAACAGATAGAGCGTCTTTCGCTCTATTTTTCTATG